CCCCAAAACCCCAAAACCCCAAAACCCCATTAGTTCATCAAAAATACAAATTAGTGATAGACAATATTTAAAGCTTTCAAAATATTTAAATAAATCATCAAGGTACTATTTATAATTAACCGTTTAATTCATAAAGATTATTCATCAAATTCATATGTCTCCAAAAAGTTAACGTTATAAGATTTCCATAAAGGCATCATCGTTACTCACAATCAATGTTCTAATAATTGCTATGCTTCTTCCAAATGCATTCAGTATCTCGCTGAAAAGCAAAGTTACTCAACTGGAGAGAAGATCAGAAGTCAAAGCAGAAGTCGCAATTGGGGCGGCTCTTGAAATGCCATACTCCCAAGGAATCCAGCTCCTCCAAGGTATTGATACAGGTAGCTACAAACTGAAAGGAAATCCATTCAAGCTCGACGGTTCAGGGACTAAAGTTGAATCGAAGGCAGTAGCGTCTGATATTATATAGAGAGACGTTGTGTCCAATAGCTAAGAGTATGCAGCCAACTTGAAGGCCTCAGCAGATTTCTCATTCTCAGGATGGAAAGCAAGCGTTCAATTCAACTTCGCAATGGAAAAAGACGTTAAATTTGTTAGTAACTAATAGCTGTTTGTTGCTTGGAGGAAGATTGTCAATGGGTACGATGGCTACGAGTATCCTCCTCCCTTAACAGAGTATGCTAAGCAAATGCTATAGAGCGATGGAGGTGCTGACACATTCAAACAGTACTTTGGTGACTATTACGTCAAAGGATGTGTAAATGGTGCTTCAATGAGAATGATCGTTAGAACGAGTGGCTCATCTTCCTCTGAAAAGGAATCGATGGATCTAAGCCTCAAGGCTGCTTACAACGGAGCATTTATGTCTGTCAGTGGTGGAGCTGGATTTAGTTAAGCGCTTGCTTCATCATAGACAATGAATCTTGAGTCTGTAGAAATATACTACTCTGGACAAGATAGGGGCTCAGGCGTTAGGAGTCTCTCTATTGCCTAAGCTGATCAAGAACTAGTAAACTTCGCTTCAATTGCGAAGACCGGTACTCCCCTATATTGCTTACTGGAATTATATAATACTCACCCAGATTACATTCAAGCTATCACATCTAAAGGAGTGCCTGTTGCAACTACTTCTCCTGCAAAAGCAATTGATGATTTCCTTAATGACATTCTCTACACAAAGATGATCTAGCTGCAAATCATAATGTAGTGGTATCTTGACGCAAGCGAGAGCCAGCAAAAGGTTTTAGATGAAGCAGATTTCGTCAGCCAAGTACTCTTGGCTAACGAAGCCTTGGAATCATCCGACCGCGCTGTAATTAGTGGTAGCAAACACATTGATGTGCTGGGAATTTAACTCTCAATTGATAATCTCGAGCAAGTTTTCTTCAGTAACGGTATCAGAGACTAAGTCCTCTCACCGACAGAAGTAGTAGGACCTTTGCTTGATTCTTATATTCCAACACTCACTAACTCTCTAACCCTGAGCTCTGACACTAGCTTGGCAGTAGACACTGCATTTAAGGTGCAAGATTTAGCTACATCACTTGACTTCTTAGGATAAGTTGCTTTGAACATGGGATTCTCGCTGCAGAGCTAAGACCATGCTACTGTTGGCTAGGATTAAAATGCACTAAACTTGCTTAAAAGGTTCCAAGCGACTACCATTTAACCAATCGGTGCTTTCTTAGATAGAAGCATCGCATCTAACCCCTTTCCTCAAACCTCAGTCACGAAAGATGTAAATCTCCTAAGGACCTTAAATTCTACTGTTGTCTCAGCTAAAGGGTCGTACTCAGACACTATCTTTACAACAGTTTGTGGGGCTAAGCTTATTGACTGTATCAACGCTTTCAAAAACCTCTGTGGGACTTCTAGTGCTCTATTCGACACTATAAGAACTCCGAGCTATTCTTCACACTGGGTATGGCAAAGTAATGGAGAGCGTAAGGTTCTCATTCCGCAGTTTAATCCATATGTTGCCATTATGCTATCATCTTATGTGAACTTAATCTGGGTGATTGGGGCTTAAGATAGAAAAGCAAACTTGAATTCACAAGCACCTTCAACAGCATCTAGCGAGATTAAGAAGATGTTAGAGTGTGCTTTTCGATCGTTTATGGATTCTTATTAGAGAAAATTTAGCGAAATCATAACTTACTATAATAATAACTGGACATTTTGCTTTGATAAAGGGAATTCATGGTGCGAATTAGATAGCAATCAATTGCTGGTAGGTTTGAAAAAGACAGCCAATGATAATGACTTAGCTAGTATCGATCTGGCTATTGGGGGAGTTGGTCCTTGGACAACACTTTCAGGATAAGCAAACTGCCCTTCTTGGGGCAGGGACTTAGATGGAAAGGAATCTTGGGCTCGCTGTGATTAAAATCTCCTCATCAAAGGATTTTTTAGAGAAACTGGAATTGGTGGAGGGAACTTAGCATCTATTGCTGATGGTAAATGCTCGAGCCCTACTCCTGGTATATCATTCGAAAATTGCTATGAACAAGATGTTGTTTCTTCATTTGATACGACAGGCAATTATGGTTATTGTCAAAGGCCTGGATATTTCTGGTTTGGATTAAGAGCTGGCTATGAAGGTGCAGTTAGGGACCTAGACAAGATCTAGTGTTGCAAACCAACCTATGCCTGGCAGAAGTTATCTTGCTGACTTCTACTTGCATTTTAATTAAATACCTTTAGTTTAACTAATGGTAAATTTTCTTCACTAAGTTATAAATTGATTAATAGCTTTTATAACAATTTAAAGTAAGACACTTTAAGAATATAACATTAACTGTGGGTATTAAGGGGTTTTGGGGTTTTGGGGTTTTGGGG